TCTGGGAGTTGAAGTCCACAAGTCTTAAAGTTGCCAAGGTTGGACACCCCTGCTGTAGGTAATCCTTGATGTACTACCACCAGAACAATGGAGTCCAAAATTTCTGTTGCTAAGCAAAGCAGGTGTCAAGGGAGATACACCCCGTTTTACGACCTTTTTTTTTGGCCACAGTTGTTTAGGGAATCGCTGCAGTTAAGGGAATCATACGGTCGTTAAGCGAATCAGCCTCCCCTCCCCCTTGACTTAGCTTGTTGGAAGCCAGCTGGGAGAGTTACAAATGGTGATCACATGACCTCAAGACAGTGCAACCGTCATAAGTACATGCCAGTTGCCAAGCGCCTGAATTTTGATCACGTGACCGTGCAATAGTCGTTAAGTGTGAAAATTGGTCATAAGTCACTTTTTCAGTGCCATTGTAACTTCAAATGGCCATTAAAAGATACCTGTATCAGGATTTCTTAACCTTGGCAGCTTGAGGTTGTATGGACTTCAACTCCCAGAATTCCTCAGCCAGGATGTGAACTCCACATATCTTAAAGCATCCTGGCCAGAGAATTCTGGGAATTGAAGTCCACACAGCTTCAAGCTGTAAAAGTTGAGGAACACTGCTCTGCAGGTAGTCCTCGACTTACGACCACAACTGAGCCCAGAATTTACATTAGTAAGCGAGACATTTCTTAAGTGAGTTTTGTCCCATTTGATACCTTCTCTTGCCAACGTTCGTTAAGTAAATCACTGCAGTTATTAGATTAGTAAACCCGGTTGTTAAGTGAATCCGGCTTCCCCATTGACTTTGCTCGTCAGAAGGGCGCAAAAGGGGATCACATGACCCCGGGACACAGCAACCTGTCACCCCTGTAGCTGACCTGACAGAAACCATCTTGGAAGGTTTAGTGTTGTCACACTGGAGCTGAGGGATAGAGAAGGGGGGATTTGAGTTAGCTGGGGTTTTGTAGCCAAAACAAAATGCTTCCTCTTGGGAACCAAGGACATTCTCAGGAAGGAGGAGGAGTGAGGTCACCCGGCAACCAGAGAACGCCGTGATTGGACCATGTGACAGATTGTTTTGAGAAAATGACAAACCTTTACTTTTAATTAGGTTTTCACCAGATCTGTGCCAATACGATATCTCCAAGAAAGCTGTTCTTTGAGGAATCTACCTGCCTCAGAGTTTTGCTTGCTCTGGGTCTATTACCTGGAACCCTGGCACAACCGTCAGAAATACGAGCCACTTGCCAAGCGGCCGAGTCTTGATCACGTGACCGTGAGGGGCCACAACTGTGCAAAGTGGTCATAAGTCACGTTTTTCAGTGCCGTTGTAACTTCAAATGGTTGGTAAACAAACCGTTGTAAGTCGAAGACTATTTGTATAACGTTAATGGTGTAGCTTCTCTTTAAAAATGGTGATAACAGGCCAGGGCGGGGTAGAGAGGGGTTCAGCTCTGAGAGAGCCCGGTAAATGAACCAGTTTATAATTATAAAATTATTTGCTCTCTGCTACTGTGGCTCACTTAGCCTGAGGAGAAACAAGCTGTGGCTTAATGAATGCAACCACGACGCTCAGAACTGCTGTTCCTAAGCGATGTAGACAGGGTTACAACGGGTAGTCCTCGACGTACAATAGTTTGTTTACTGACCAAGGTTACAATGGCACTGGAAAAAACTGACCTATGACTGTTTTTCACACCCATGACCACTGCAGCATGCTCACAGTCATGTGGTCAAAATTCAGAGACTTGCCAACTGATTTGTATTTATGACGGTTTCAGTGTCCCAGAGTCACGTCATCCATCTTAGCGATCATCCAACTGATGAGCAAAGTCAATGGGGAAGCCAGAATCACTTAACAACCCTGTTACTAAATGTCTGAAAGTGATTCACTTAACAACGATGGCAAGAAAAGTTATACAGTGGGACAAAACTCACTTAACAACTGACTCACTTAGCAACAGAAATTTGGTTCAATTTTGATCCAAGTCAAGAACTGCCAATACTTTCTACAACTAGGGAGGGCTCCTTCTGAAACACTTCCCAAATCCCATCAATTTCCCCCCACACATTACAAAGGTTATAAAACAGTAAAATTAAAAAATATATGTAAAATAAGGCCGAACGAATAATTTATTGTATAATATTACTTTGATGCAAACTGGATTTGAAAACCATTAAGCATGAAAAGTCAGTTCTGTGATTGTGAGTGGTGAACAAAGCTTACTTTTACAACCATACCAAAGCCCTGTTGCCTTTGTTAAAAATAGTAATGCTGCCACCTACCATTTTGCAGTAAAAAAAAATACGCAAGCGTTCTAGTGCCAGCTCTGTAGAGGGAGGGAGGGAGGAAGAGGTGAAAGAGAAAGGAAGGAGATATAGAAGAGGAAGGAAGGAAGGAAGGAAGGAAGGAAGGAAGGAAGGAAGGAAGGAAGGAAGGAAGGAAGGAAGGAAAGGATGAAGGAGAGATCAGAAGAGAAGGGTAGGCGAATAAGGAGGGAAGAGGGAAAGGAAGTGGAGGGAAGAGGTAAAAGAGGAAAGGAAGGAAGAAGAGGTAGCAAGTAGGAGAGAAGGAAGGAGTGGGGGAGAAAGGAAGGGAACAAAAGCAAAAAAGAGGTGAGAGACAGAAAAAAGGAGATGTAGAAGAGGAAGAAAGCAAGTAAAGGAGGAAGGGATGAAGGAGAGATCAGAAGAGAAGAAGAGTAGGAGAATAAGGAGGGAAAAGGAAGAGAAGAGGGAAGGGATCAGGAGGTGAAAGAGGAAAAGAAAGAAGATGGAGCAAATAGGAGAGAAGGGAGGCAGGCAGGCAGGCAGGAAGAACAAAGGAAGGATCCACAAATTATGTCCAAGAACAAGGAATGTCATAATCCCACTTCCGCTTACCTAGCTTCACCACTGATATTTCCCCCATTCAGTAGTGACCTTCCTCTAAACAGGTTCACACACAACTTCTAGAGGCAAGTCATTCCATGGATTAATTGCCCCCAGCCCTCCCACCAGCTACCCACCCCCTCCAACCCACCAAGTGCCCGACAGGGGAAACGCTTCCCCCCAAAACACGGCACCTCCACCGAATGTATACCGTTAACGGATGGTCTGCCGAATCCAAGATGTCGGGCATGATCTGATTGGCGTAGGCCAACCTCTCCTTCAGAGAGTTCCTCTTCCTCAGCCCTGTCAGGTTGACCAGGTGGATCTTCAGCCAATCCAGGCCTTTGGGTCCGAGCGGCTTCCCCTCCGCAAAGAGGAGAATCCCCCGGGTGAAGTCGCCCCCCAGGTGGTTGAAGTGAGGGGGGCACGGGTAGGTTCTCCCACGGAAATCCAGGTTGTGGGGGAACCAGAAAACCTCATCTTTTATGTGCTTGGCGATGGACAGCTTATAGAGCATGTCCATCCGCAGGCTGTAGGTCTCCCGGTTCTTCTTACGGCACTGGGCCATCTTCCATTTCAGAGCCATCCGGGACATGGGCGCACTCTCGGCCAGCTGCTTGGCGAGCTCTTTGGCCTCCCAAGATGGCGGCGGAGGGATGTCCAACTTCTCATCGCCCTTATCGTTGAAGATGGAGATGATCACGTCCAACACGGGCTGGTTGACTTTCCAAGGGCAGTTGCCCAGAAAGTTCAGCGCATCCAGGGCCAAGCAGAGGTGGTCGTGAGGGCACTCGTCCAAAAGCAGCTCGTGCTGGACCACCCCGTCTTGGCATCGCATCAGCTTGACGGGGGAAAGAGTGTAGGCCCCGAAGTGGGAAGAGACCCAGGGCACGGGCGGGCACTGCATGGGGAGGATGAAGGAGTCGAAGGTGAGCGTCGTCTCCAAAGCCTCCTGAAGAATCCGGATCAGGATGGAGTGAGGTTTTATGAAACCGATCTGCAAAAGGGAAAGAAAGGGGGATTTTTTAAAAAATTAGAAAATAACCGCTAATGCTACAAGGTATAGAATAGAATAGAATAGAATAGAATAGAATAGAATAGAATAGAATAGAATAGAATAGAATAGGAATAGAATAGGAATAGAATTCTTTATTGGCCAAGTGTGATTGGACACACTAGGAATTTGTCTTGGTGTAAATACTCTCAGTATACATAAAAGAAAAGATACATTCATCAAGAGTCAAGAATCATAAGGTATAGCACTTAATAATAGTCATAGGGTACAATAAGCAATAAAAACATACTAGGAAACAGTCAATATAAATTGTAAGGATACAAGCGACAAAGTTACAGTCATACAGTCACAAGTGGGAGGGGATGGGTGATAAGGAGTGATGAGAAGATTGATAGTAGTAGTAGTGCAGGCTTTGTAAATAGTTGAGGGAATTATTTGTTTAGCAGAGTGATGGCATTTGGGGGAAAAACTGTCCTTGTGTCCAGTTGCTCTGGTGTGCAGTGCTCTATAGTGTCGTTTTGAGGGAAGGAGTTGAAACAGTTTATGTCCGGGATGTGAGGGGTCTGTAAATATTTTCACAGCCCTCTTTTTGACTTTTGCGGCATACAGGTCCCTCCATGGAAGGCAGATTGGTAGCAACTGTTTTTTTCTTTTTTCTTTTAAACAAATTTTATTCAGTTTTTCACATTAAAAACAAAAATCTCTTTTTAGTGGACAATATATTTCCGAGTCATCACCTTTACATACAAATATGACAACAATTATACATTCATATATGCATACTTAATTCTATTATTACCTTTTCCATTCCAAATTTTCAGTAAGGAGAGAAACAAACACATCAATTCTAGCCTCTTTCATTAATCTCAATCGAAACATCTTTTTGTTTCATTTCAATTATTTCAAATATAATCCTTTAATATTTATTTTAAAAATAAAGATAAACAATATGTGTTTGCCTAATAATAATGATCATGATCATGATAATAATAAAAAGGTTACCAATGTCTCTCCTTGCTTTTAATAGTCTATGTTAACATTAATTTAGTTGATTCTTTAGTCTGTTGTATTCCCTTTCTATTACAAATTCTTTTTATAAATTCTAGATTAATACAAATTTTAACACTAAAGAAAAAAAAAAGTATAGGTTTCCCCCCTTTTACTGCTTTGAGTGTGACACCTCAATGATTAAAATATACCTTTATTCTCTCATCTTGATTCCCAATAAACCATTATTTTTAAGAAGTTACAATAATAATCATTACATCTTTTCATTTGGATTCCGCAGCATATTTCCCCCCCTTAATTTTTAATAAGAGTTATCAGTATCTATATTACCCTATTTTCTAAATATTTTTAATTGCAGAAATATTCTTATTACCCCTTGTCACCCTGCAGAATTCCCTTAATTCATCAACCATTATCTCTGAAAAACCAATTTCTTTTCAACATTTTACTGTTTCCATTATTTCTTTATTTCATGCACCTGTTTCTTACTGCTTCTCCTCCCCCTCTTTTCCCCATATCTTTTCTCATTCCAGTTTATATCCCTCTCTTTCTTAATATCTTCCTTTCCCGACTTCACAGGTATTCCTCCTTTTGATTGCCTTCTTAAATCTCAACTTTTTAACCTTCCTTTTCCCCCCACTTCTTTGTAGTGTTCTTTGCGTTAATTGTCTATTTAAAATGTCTTCTCCTTGAGTTGACTCCTCCTCCTCTGAACCTCTTCCTTCTTGTTCTTCAATCGCCATTTCCATTTTTTCTAACACAGAGCAAAGTGATTCGCCTCTTTCCTGTAATAATTCTCTCATATTTTTAAGTTCCATTTTTAATTCCCAAAGAGATATCATCATTACACACTCTTATATTTTATGATCATTAAAGTCCACAAAAAAGACCACTTTTACTTTCCTTCTTTCTTCTTTCGATTTTCTAAAGTTCTCAATTATTCCAGCCCAGGGTCTATACCAAAAACATCAATCAATCCCACAGTCGGTCTTTCCTTGCTTTTTTCTTTATTCTGGTTCTGCTTTCACTTTTTAAAGATTCTTAACTTTGTTTCAATATTTCTTTAATGTTATATCCACACAAATTCATTCAGAAACAGGATGTTTTGCTTTTTGTTTGAGCTCAACTTTTTGTCAAAAGGTGGCACTCTCCATTATACAAAGTCTTCACCTTTTCCCCTTATTTTTTTGTTTAGGGTTTTTCGAACCTCAATATTCCAGCACAGTCCAGTCTCCAATTTGTAAACTTTATTATTATTATTTTTTGACAATCTTAAGTCCAGCTTTATTTTATGCCTGTTTACTGCCAAGATATTTTAGTCCAATTTAGTTAAATTTTTAGTTCCAGCTTCTTCCTTTCCCGGTTCGAAGCCACGCTTAGCTGTCAAAAATATTTTCTTTTTTTTTCTTCCTGTCCCTTTGTAATTTCGCTGCTCCCTTTTCTTTTCTTAAAAATTCCATGTTACCTTAATCCCGGGGTACTTTTGTTTAGTTGTATTGCCCAGTTGTCCCGGTTCAGATGTTATCCACCTCTTTCTTCCCTCCTGCAGAAATCTTAATCCAGCTGAGTCCTCCTCTTTGGGGTGGCCATTTTAAACCACCGCTGCAGTCGTCTTCGGGGGGGGGAAAAGACCAAGACCAGGGGGCGAGATGCGGCTCCCCTCAACCTGTCTTGCGGCTTCACCTTACTCCGCCGCCCCTCCAAGGTAGCATCAGCCCCTAATCGTAATGATCGGGGCTCTCCAAAAAAAGAGCACGGACCATAGCCACAGAGAGTCGCGATCTACGGTGCGTCAGCGAGGAGGCTCCGCGTTCTTCAGCAACTGTTTTTTCTGCAGTCCTAATTATCCTCTGAAGTCTGGGTCTGTCTTGCTGGGTTGCAGAACCAAACCAGACAGTTATAGAGGTGCAGATGACAGACTTGTCCTTGACTTGCGACCATTCGTTTAGTGACCATAGAGGCCAGTTGTCAAGTGACCAAATTTTGATCACATGACCATGGGGATGCTACAACGGTGATAAGCATGAAAACCTGATCGTGGGTCACTTTTTTTTTCCAGTGCTTTTGTGACTTTGAATGGACACTAAACAAATGGCTGTAAGTCAAGGACTACTTGGGAAAAGCAGGCGGCCATTTTTGGGCTATACTGGGCCCTGTTAAAAAGGAAAGGCAAACCACCTTTGGCAAATTCACTGGCTTTACAGAAATCCTTTTCAGAACAACAGCATTGGAAGGGACCTTGAAGACCCTCTAGTCCAGGGGTGGGCAAACTTTTTGGCTCGGGGGCCTCATTGACTTTTAAAATTTGACAGACGGGTGGTGTCGAAATGCCTGTCATTACAAGTCAAAATCAAATGAATGCAATCATTCAATCATTCACATCAAACCTTAATTCTGTACCAATCTTCGGCGGGCCGGATTAAAAAGACCAACGGGCCGGATGTGGCCCGCGGGCCGTAGTTTGCCCACCCCTGCTCTAGTCCAACCCCCTTCCCAAGCAGGAGATTCTATACCACTTCAGACAAATTATTGTCCAATCTCTTCTTAAAAACCTATAGCCGTGTTGGTGAACCTATGGCACGAGTGCCACAGGTAGCACGCAGAGCCATTTGTGCCAGCACGCGAGCCCCAGCCAAACCTACCTGCACTGTGCATGCGCGTGCCTCCCAGCCGATTTTCGGCCCGTTTTGAGGCTGTTTTCGCCCTCCTGGAGGCTCGAGGGAAGCCTCTGCAGTCTCGGTAGGCGAAAAAACAGGCCTTCCAGAAATACCGGAAGTGCCGAAACGGGCCCGTTTTTCGGCCCCCCAACGTTGCAGAGGCTTCCCTCCAGCCTCCGGGAGGGCGAAAACGGCCTCAAACGGACCAAAATTCAGCTGGGAGGTGCATGCATGTGCAGTGCAGGTAAAAGGGCGGGGCGGGTGTGCTGCATGCGCAGGGCGCATTGCATTGTGGATGCCAGTGCACGCGCACGCTTTCAACACACCACGAACAGAAAGGTTTGCCATCACTGACCTATAGAGTTGGAGCACCCACAACCTCTGGAGTCAAGTTGTTCCAACTGATTAATTGTCCTCACTGTCAGGAAATTCCTCCTTAGTTCTCGGTTGCTTCTCTCCTTGGTTAGCTTCCATCCTTATTGCTTCTTGTCCTGCCTTCAGGGGCTTTGGAGAATAGGCTGACCCCGCCGCCACCCTCCAGGTTATTGGTGGCAGCCCACCAAATATTGGAAGACTGCTATCCTGTCCCCCCGGGTCCTTCTTTCCACTCGACTAAAGTGAGCACAGGCGCCTCAGGGTTTTGCACACTTGACCAGCCGTCCGCGTTGCTCACCTGCTTGGTTCCGCGGAAAGAATAGACGTGATACAGGACAGGAATGACGGAGTTCTTAGGGAGCGAAGGCAGCAGGCTGTTGTCCAGCTTCAGAGTTTGGACCATCAGTTCTATCAGCTGAAAACCCAGCTGAACCAACAGGCTTGGGGGCCAGAGGGCTTGCTTGGATATCAAGGAAGGACTATAACCCACCTCTGCCCTCAGCTTCTCCCAATATTCCCGTGGCAAAAAACCATTCACCTGCAGAGGCAAAGGACAGGGTGAAGTTTACATTCTGGAGGCCGACAGCATTTAGACTTACGTACCGCTTTCACAGTGCTTTGCAGCCCTCTCTTAAGCGGTTTACAAATGGTAGCATCTTTGCCACCCACCCACCCACCCACCACCACCAATCTGGGTCCTCATTTTACTGACCTCGGAAGGACAGAAAGCTGAGTCAACTTTGAGCCTGATGAGTATCGAACTACTGGCTGTGGGCAAAGTCAGCCTGCTGCAGTAGTGCATTCTAATCACCGCGCCACCACGGCTCTCTCTACTTAAACGTGTTTAGGTTCACACACTGCACTGCTCATTGAACTTGCTGGAGACGGTTGACGGGATAAGAAGACGTCGCCCTTGGTGCCGCCTGTCTCCTTGGTCGTTGCTCTTTATGCAGGGCTCCCCAAACTTGGCAACTTTTAAGACTTGTGGACTTCAACTCCAGCCAGGCTGGAGAATTCTGGGAGTTGAAGTCCACAAGTCTTAAAGTTGCCTCTGCTCTTATGCTGTATAGGGGGTCCCTGCGGATTTTACCCCTGCTAGTCGTGCTGACTCTAGGGAAACGGTGCTGATCTCCGTTTCAAAACCACTGAGTTAGCGCTGTCTGAAGACATTTCCACGGTCCTGTGGCCACAGAGTGCTGTGACCTTCCCGCCAACGTGATAACTTATTTATCTACTTGCATTTGCATGCTTTCAAACTGCTAGGTTGGCAGTTTAACTGGAATGGTTTGGTTAAAACATTAACCTCTAGAACAGGGGTGTCAAACTCAAGGCCGGTGGGCCACATCAGGGTGCTTAGATCTGGCTTACAGGGACGCCCTGGAAACAGTGAAGGAACGGCCCGCGGTGCCTCTGCCAGCTCCATATGGCCCTCCCAAGCTCCGTTTTCGCTGGCAGAGGGTTGCAGGAAGCTGTCCCAGCTGAAAACAGATCTCGGGAGCCCATTTTCACTGGCAGAGTGCTTGGGCCAACACATGGGCCTCCGACATAAGTGACCTCAAGCTGGCCACACCCAGACTGGCTATGCCCACTACAGACTCCCAAGGTCAAACACAACCCTTGTTAGGAATATAAGTCACCTAACAGGTATTTGGGTTAGAAATATATAAACCAGGGTAAACATTTTAGTACTATATCTTTAAGGGAATGCAAGAGCATGCAATTGGGTGTGGTTTCTCAAACAGCCATAAGATGGAGCCAGAAACCTGGGTTGTTTTAGTCTTAGTCTCAGAAGAGAGTGTGTCTGAGTGAGTATCTCTGTTTCCTTCTGTTGGAAAGTATTGCCGTTACTCCATTTCTTCTAATTGACTGATATTACTGGATTTAATGTAAGTCTCATACTGAACTGTTTTTGACACTGGAATTTGATATTTGGATTATCCCTGGATTGAAAACCTGACTGATTTTACCTATGAATGACTTTTGGACTGCCTATTTTGGACTTTGCTTAAACCTTTCTGGAAGTAAAAACCTACATTTACTGTACAGTGTATCTGTGTGCTGTATGTGTATTATTCAAACACTACTCTCAAATACATCTCCCTGTATGCACTCATTCTCCTAACGGGGAATTACCTCAACAACCCTGATGCGGCCCTCAGTGAAATCCAATTTGACACCCCTGCTCTAGAACCGGGGTGTCAAACTCATGTCATCACGGCAAGGTCATGTGACGTATCGGGACATTTTTTTTTCCCCTTTGCTAAATTGGGCAATTGGGCGGGGCCAGCTTGTGATGCATTAGGCCCACGAGTTTTGACAGCCTTAAAGTAGTTTCATTTTTTGTGGGTTCTAAATATTAATGTTGTATTTATATTACAAGGAGTTCTCAACTTACAACAGTTCATTTAGTGAGGGTTCAAAGTTACAACAGCACTGGAAAAATCGACTTGTGACCATTTTTCACATTTATGACCTTTGCAGCAGCCCCATGATCATACTTATGACCGTTGCTTTTTCCCAGGGCCATGGGATCCCCTTTTGTGACTTTCTGACAAGCAAAGTCAATGGGGGAAAAGGGATTCACTTAACCACCATGATATTGCAGTATCAACTGCAATAATTCACTTAACAACGGTGGCAAGAAAGGTTGTAACATGGGGCAAAACTCACTTAACGAATGTCTCACTTATCAACAAAAATTTTGGGTTCAATTGTGGTTGTAAGTCGAGGACTATCTGTAAATAGTTTAATTTACATTATGTTGCCAATTTTCTAATCACTAGTGCTTCTTGTTCCGTTTTCAACGCCTGTGTATGTGAAAATTTATTTATTTATTTATCTTGTCAAGCGATTATAAGATTACAGGTATAAGTACAGACATAGTTATGAGTACATCAAATGGATACATATAAGAAAAATAAAAAGAAACAATACAAAAATATCCATATCTATCTATCTATCTATCTATCTATCTACCTATCTATCTATCTACCTACCTACCTACCTACCTACCTACCTATCTATCAAACAGGTTCCATGAGTTGAAAAACGTTGAAAACATCGCCATTAGGTCAACCTTAGAAAGGAACTCAGAAAAATCTAGTTTTAGTCCAAAATAGCCCTGAGTTATTGGAACCCAAAAAATCCTCTCATGAAAGTGGTCAATCCAGAAACTAGAGATGGTCTATCCCAAAGGTGCTTTTTTTCAATTGGACATTCTGGTTTTTCTTTGAAGACTTTTCACTTCTCATCTAAGAAGCTTCTTCAGTTCTTCTGCAATCTTCTGAAAAACCAAAGTCCAGTTGCCTCTTGAAAAAAGCACTTCTGGGACAACCATGATCTGGATGACTGAGAATCTCCATAGAGATGGTGAAGTTGGATACCTGATTATCCTTGGCCAAAAGTTTGACGTAGCTATCATAGGTCTTCTCAAAATTTTCTGCTGAAATGGTTAAACTTTTTCTCTGAATGGTGTATTTATTGTAGATTCTGGTACCCAGATCCTTCGCTAAAATGCTGACGCATTCCCCAAGGGCTGGCATGCTGAAAACCGTCTGAAAAGAAAGCAAATTAAAACAAAGACAACTTAAGAGACTCAAGATATGACCTGTAGCAATTTTAATTTTTTAAAAAAGTTAAGAAGCATTGTTCTATTTTTCAGTTTTACTTTCTTACTTACCGTATTTGCCGGCGTATAAGACGACTGGGCGTACAAGACGACCCCCCAACATTTCCACTCAAAATATAGAGTTTGTTATATACTCGCCGTATAAGACTACCCCCTCTTCCACACACCTTCCACTTTTGCACTTTTTTTTTTTTTGACGCACTTTTCTGCTTTGGACAATTTTGAAATGAGCTAATCCAATTTTGAACCAAGAATATGCAAATAGCTATGGAGTTTAGAAATGAGTTTTAAAAATATTTTTCATTGCTTACCATTAAGCGTAAAATATGTTGTAAATAAAATGAGAACACAGGAAACGTTCTCTTCTCAATACAGCTGATCTCTCTCTCTCTCTCTCTCTCTCTCTCTCTCACACACACACACACACACACACACACACAAAAAAAACCCGGACACTGAAAAGGCTGCCAAGGAACAGTATATTCAATGCCTTCTCTTTAATCAAGAAACAAGGAATTCCTTAGAATCTTTTTTTTTCCCCAAGTGGCCCTCTTTAAAAAAAAAAATGGAGGTAACACTTTCATTCAAAAAGTCTTCCAGTATCTGGAGTCGCTCAGACATATTGAAGTGAGGCAGGAGAGTAAGTGAAATTTGAAATGATCCAGCTACCGTTTTCTTCCCCTCCCGCCCGAAGGCCATTATCTCCACGTCAAAACGAACGAGGGGAGGCAAAGAAGCCAAACACGCTAAAAAGGATCTCTTTATTTTCCTACACAAGGTCACACCTACTTTTCCGCATTCAAAGGACAACCTCTCCTCACCACCACCACACACACACACACACACCAATACCCGCAAACAATGTTCTGGGCATTAATCACCATTGCTACATTAACCTGGTAAATTTATACCCTGCCTCCCCCAGTGTTGCTTTGACGGCAGGATTTCACACAGCGGGGCGCTCGCTCGCTCTCTTCTCCGCTCTCCCACCGTTCGCACATGTTGGAAGCACCGTAAAACCTGATAACCCACCCGGGGGCTCCCCCATCCTTAACCTACAGCCGCCCGCATGCAAAACCTGCGTGCAAAAAGAAAAAAAGAAAAAGAAAAGTACGCCGTACGTGAGGATCTTCGAATCCTCTCCTCCCCACACCGCTAAGGAAGGAAGAGGGGGAAAGGTTGCGCAGCGCGTGGCGAGTGACACCCGCCACACACACACACACACACACACACACACAAAAACACACACACACACCGCTCCCCCCCCAGCCTCCCTCCCGGCTGCAACTCAAGCTCGAAGTGGGAGTCGGAGTCCTCCCGGCGTATAAGACGACCCCCCCACTTGGAGGCATGTTTTTCAGGGCAAAAAAGTCGTCTTATACGCCGGCAAATACGGTAGTGTTTTTATTATTTAGCAATCGCACTTAAGACTTTTGTATTGTTTCATGGTGCTTTCCAGCCGTCTCTAAGCGGTTTGCAGAGTCAGCCTATGGCCCTCAACAATCTGGGTCCTCATTTTACCCACCTTGGAAGGATGGAAGGCTGAGTCAACCTTGAGCTACTCAGGATCGAACTGCTGGCAGTGGGTAGAGTTAGCCTGCATTGCTGCCTTCTAACCACTGTACCACCAGGGATTTTTTATTTGTTTGTTTATTCACTTTCCATAGCCACCCAACTCAACCAAAGCAATTAAAGCAATTAAAAAAACATTAAAACAATAAAAAAACTAATAAATTACCGTGGATGACTTACCGTATATACTCGAGTATAAGTCGACCCGAATATAAGCCAAGGCACCTAATTTTACACAAAAAAACTGGGAAAACTTATTGACTCGAGTATAAGCCGAGGGTGGGAAATGCAGCAGCTACTGGTAAATTTCAAAAATAAAAATAATTAATTTGGGAAACGATCTCACTATCATGAAAGGTTTAATTGATTCACTAACCCAAAAGAAGAAGATGATGATGACAGCGGGAGGCAGGAGTCACTCTCTTCCCCTCCCTCGGAGGCCCCCTGAGTCAGGAGTCACTACCGCCGGCACGGCCCCAGTCCCGCCGCCTCGGGAAGGGAAAGGCAAAGCGCTTTTTGCCTTTCCCTTCCCAGCTGGGGCTGTTGGGAGTCGCTGCCGCCGGAGGCCGCGACTCCACACCATTTTTTTTTTCAGAGGGGAATCTGACTCGAGTATAAGCCGAGGGGGATTTTTTCAGCACAAAAATTGGGCTGAAAAACTAGGCTTATACTCGAGTATATACAGTATTACCCAAATGCAGGTAATACCCTAAATCAGGGGTGTCAAACTGAAGGCCCATGAGCCAGATCCGGCCTGTGGGGCCTCTGCTAGTGAAAAAGAGCCAAAACAAACTAAAAACAAACTAAAAGGAGAAATGTTTCCCCCTTTTGCATTTGAGCAGGCAAGATGGGACAGGAAAGGAGAAAAGGAAAGACCAAGAAAAAGAAGGGAAGATGGGAAGAGATCAAGGAAGGAAAAAGAAGGAAAGA